TCTTTATTTCAAATAGATCATTATTTGGTTGGAGAAAATTTTGAAAGACTGAAAGAGTCGACTTTTCACGACATATTTACTTTTTTCTAAAATTCAATGTCAAACGGCTTAGTCAATTTTCAATTAAATTTTAACTTTTTCTTGGTAGTTAGCATATTCGGTTTCATATAGATTTAAACTCAGGCAAAATTCAACAGATATAACTTTTAGATTATCAGAAGTTACTAAAAGATAATTTAGGAAAATATTTTCTCACCTAAAATCTATACTAATGTTCCTGTCTTAGAAGCTGGTTTATATTGGATGGTAATCATTTACCAAAAATTGTGGTATGCTGAGGGTGGGTGTGGGTGTGGGTGGGTGTGGGTGTGGGTGTGGGTGGGGTGCTGGTGGGGTGCTGGTGTGTGGGTGTGGGCGGGGTGCTGGTGTGTGGGTGGGATGCGGGTGTGTGGGTGTGGGTGTGGGTGTTTATCGTCTCTTCACTCATACCGACACCCACACCTCACACCCACTCCCACACACCCACACCCACACTCACACCCACACCCACCCACACCCACACCCGCACCCACCCACCCACACCCACACTCACACCCACCCACACCCACACCCACACCCACACTCACCCACACTCACACACCCACACCCACCCTACCCACACCCACACCCACACCCCACCCACACTTATGATTATTTATAGATTGGAAGTTCTATAACTTTTAACTTTAGTATATCATACGAGGAGAATTATAATTTTAATCTTAAGCAATTGATAAATGATTACTTTAGCGGTAATCGAAACACGTGTCTTGCTAGCTTTTGATTTGATTATTTATTAATCAATTCATTAACACACCCACACCCACTATGACTTACGAGGGAACATTCTCAGGTGCACAATCGATTTTGAGTCGAGACTATGCGCATCTTGTGGACCTTGATGAGTTATGACTATGATAAAAAAAGCTCGTGCCCATGGCGTGTTCCTGGCGAGATATCGAGTTTTTAATGAACTTTTTCTATAATACTCCACATTTGCAGAAAAGCTATATTATTGAGTCATGACCTCAAACTTTATCCACATAAATGCCTCAGCTAGACTAGCTTGTATAAAAAATTTCAGAAGTTTTGGACAAAGCCTCTCCGAAATATGAAACTAGCAAGGTACAGACTCTTTTTCATAGATAGTATGCATTTTTTGCTAGTTCCATATCTCGGAGAGACTTTGTCAAAAACTTCTGAAATTTTTTATACAAGCTAGTCTAGCTGAGGCATTTATGTGGACAAAGTTTCAGGCCATGACTCAATAATATAGCTTTTCTGCAAATGTGGAGTATTATAGAAAAAATTCATTAAAAACTCGATATCTCGCTAGGAACACGCCATGGGCACGAACTTTTTTTGTCATAGTCATAACTCATCAAGGTCTACAAGATGCGCATAGTCTCGACTCAAAAGCGATTGTACACCTGAGAATGTTCTCTCGTTAGTCATGTAAATATAGTATTCACATATAAAAAATGAATATAATTATATCTCAACATCGATATTGCACCACTGTTGATTTTGTTTATATCACTTCCGACATGCCTCATTACCATCTAATGTATTACGAATGTACACACACGTAATTATACAGCAAACGATAAGGCAAAAAAAAAGTTAAGAACGACGAAAAAGTGACATAGAAGAGAGGTGCCCACACGCTACTATACTCGTTCTTGGTGAACCATAAATGTTCAAGTATCGATATAACCAAATTATCCAATAATCAGTAGATGTTTACAATTTATTCGATTCATGACTAGAATGTCAAGATGGAACTGATGATTTCATCGAGTTAGGATAAAAAAAACTTTTATGAGAAAAGAATAGAAATGAAAGAGAAAGAAATAAGATATGAGGATCAAAAACATCTCGTAGATCTTGAAAAATACTCATTCATATGTGTCTCGATTAAATCAAGGCAAAAATTGCGTATTCATTTTAATATTTGTCTTTCTTACATTAGAGATTCTTACTAAAAGTTCAATGCTACGGATCGTTCAATGTCACAGATAACTTCATCGAATTATTTTCATCTTGACTTTCACTTGATTTTCTATGCCGTCAAATACGAACAAGCAAGCATCAAGTTAATACGGACAAGGATATCTTTTTTTTTTTAATTGTGATAATATATATTCACAAGATACTTGATCGTCGAGACAGTGCAGCGGACATTGATAAAAACAGAACAAATCCATCAAAAATTCATTGAAATAAAATTTTAGCTACATTTTTATCTCTTTTTATTGTTGATTTTATATATAAATCCTTTATTTAATTACGATTATTTTTCTATTCTCTTGTTGTTTTTCTCCTACTTACCCGACTTACATTAAACTACGCATACGTGATAATGAGTCATCAATCAAAAATGGTCATGGTCGATAATTATCTCTTCCTCTTTTGATTGACCTTGCAAGGTTGTAAATAACGACTTAATCATATTCGAATGTGACAAGGAAGAGAAATTGGAGGAATGACGTTCGAAAAATTGGAGGAATGACGTTCGAAAAATTTATATACTTGCATACTTTGTCAATATATATATATGGAAATAAATACATTTTGAATAAACATTGCCTGTTAAATAAGTGTGACATAGCTTTCTATACACATTTATTTCAATCTTCTTTACCATCAATCGAAGTTATATTGTACAAAAATGGATATATGCTATCGATACATCATCATTGCATTAACTTTTGCTACTTCATGTAAGTAAATGTCTTACTAGACTAACTTTAGGTACAGGAAAATAGAATTAGATCTACTTCATCATTAGATACATCACTAACAGTTTATACAAACGGTTAAGGTAGAAAGTTTTCTCATTATTCACTTTTACAAGACCTGAAACTATAGTTACAAGATATCTGATAGGATCGAATGAGTTTCCGACATGTATGACTATTTTTGTGTTTCGTAAAGAAAAGTTCTTAATAAATCTTTCTGGTCAAAATGTGAAAAGTCATGCGTCTATCTCGTTGTTTCTTTCTCTATCAAACTAATTACTATATGTAATAAAGTGCTTAAATTATTCATTTTTTATGTTCATAGTGAGTCAACCACCAAATAAGACAGTCATTTCTTATCCAAATGTTGGTCAATGGGTGCCGGCATTTTCATTTCTTAATGCCATGTACAAAATTGTACTTCGTGGAACTCAATCATCTGGTCTTTTGACAATTGTTGAAGAACTGATATATATCGGTAATGCATCTCGATGTCATTATCATACAAAAGAAGATGAAACAATTCGTGTGCTTAATGGTACTCTTCAAGTTTATCAAAATGGCTATCAGTTTTGTGCACCAGCTGGTACAAGCATTTACATTCCACGAAATATCATACAATCAAGTCGAAATCTTGGTTCAAAACCAATCCATGTAGAATTGTTATTTTCACCATCGAATATTGAAAATTATTTGGATCAAATTACTCCTGTTTTTGCCGAACAGCCGGTCAATATGACTCGAATAGGTGAACTTGCACGTACATTTGGAGTTGTACATTTACCTGATATTCCATGGCAAGATCTCAATTGTGCATTTAATGATAGCTCTATGTTCATACCATCTGTTTATTTGACATTTTTCAACATTTTGCTTCATGTTCTCGCATCTATCTATAATAAATTTTAGTAAAATTTTCAAAGTAAGAATATCAAGTGTTAGTGCCACTCCAGGATATGCATTCTTTCCTTCATACTCATGTATTTTTCTAGACATCCTCTCCTTTCTATGTATCATTCAAACATTTTTCCTACCGCTGATCTTTTGTTTTCCAGTGTATTTTTATGAATTTTATTCATCTACTTATAATGAATCAATTAATGTTCGTCGCTATGGAACACCCAATCAAGAAACACATTCTATGTCGGTTTGTTTTTAATAACATAAATTATATATTTTTTTTCATGTGAATCTCTTACAAAAAAAAAATGAGCATTCTCAATGAGCCTTATTCCCAATTGGGTGTGGGTGTGGGTGTGGGTGGGTGGGTGTGTGTGGGTGTGGGTGTGGGTGTGTGGGTGTGGGTGTGGGTGTGGTGGGTGTGGGTGTGGGCGTGGGTGTGAGTATAGGTGTGAAAGAAGACTAAAACAACACCCACACCCACACCCACACCCACACCCACCACACACACCCACACCCTCCCACACCCCACACCTACACCGACACCCACCCGCACCCACACCCACACCAACATCCACACCCACCCACACCCCGACACCCACCCGCACCCGCACCCACCCACGCCCACACCCACACCCACACCCACCCACACCCACACCCACCCACACCCCACCGACAACCACACCCACCCACACCCACACCCCACCGACACCCCCACACCCACACACCCACACCCTCAAGAGAGTAGAAAAAGCATAGATCTATCTGCCAGATATCGACCAAATGGAATGATTTTTTTTACCAATAATATAGAGATACTCATAGTTTATACTTAAAAGAAAGACGTTGAAAAATACTGTTTCAAATTATCACTGTTAACGATAATATGACACACCATCGAACTTTCATTGATACTTTCTCTTTCTTCGTCTATATGTTCTTCTTTCTATTCGTATATAGTTAAATAAACCGAGCTAATATTGGTGCTTTGACCAGTTTTCTTCTAATTACAGCATCGTCGAAGGCTCATCCATAAATTATTTAATTCATTTATAACAGAAATAAGATCAGGTCGAGTTTCTTTTTTAAATTTAAACCGAATCGAATTGGAAAAGAAATATTCGACATTACACTAACAATAGAAGTCTTATTACTTTAAATTAGAAATTTTCTACATATTGAGGTCAAATTAAAGATCTTATTCCTAAATTAATATGTTAATAACCTATACAAGACGTATATATTCCAAAACTTTAGAAGAACTACTTGTTTATTCTCAATGATTGAATGAGCTCCTTAAATTGTATTAGAAAAGAATATTTTACTTTAAATAATACTCTTGAAAAGCTTAGCGAGATGCATCCAATTATCAAAAAAACCCAAAAAAAAAACTCTGAAATTTTGGACGGTAGGCAGTCTTACATAGATGATCAATAGCTTAAAATTTGAAAATCCATGTGTATGCAAGCGACGAGCAATTTATATTTTACATTTGATACTTTGGCAGTGAATTCTTTAATTTGACCAAAGTATGTCCAAACTTTTTAACTTAGAACATAAATATTTTCATTATAGAGAATATTTCTAAAATTATTTGTCGATGAGATCACTTTTCATTTTCTTTGGAATGAACCGATTCTATCTCTTAAGACAATTTAAAGATAATTATCAGTTACAGAAATCGATTTAACTAATTTATGAAAAATTTTCAATTAGAAACGATTTGTAATGAAAATAATTTGAATTACTTAATATGTTTTCTAACTTCTCTATAGTTTCTATTAAATAATCTCACATCTTAAATGTTGTCCTAATGATAGATATAGAATCCCTGCTACGACAAACAAGGCTTGTTTTAATGATATAATAAATGCATTTGTACATCGGTTGTGATCTCAGTGTTTATTTAGTTGATTTGAATTTTCATATAACAGTCGTGGATTATGAACAAAACGCATACGAGGAAAGTCCAATTCATTCGATTCACTTGAAAAATTAATTATCTCAAAAACGGTTTTCACAAGATATAAAAATTAGAAACAAATTCTTTTTTATTTTGTATTTGTATTTAACTTCAGGCATTAAGAACATGAATTTAGCAAATAATAGCTACGGTCAAGATAGAAATAAAAAGCATTTTCTTGACAAAACATAACCAATATATTCGTCGGATATTTTAAAATAAAGCGAACAGGACGGTTATTGTTTCCACTTGTCCGTATATATACTGTTGTGAAACCAAGCAATAGCATTGATATCATCAGAAAAAAAATATGTCGGACTATCTAACAATGTTACCTGTAGAATTAATTCATAAAATTCTCGACAATGTTTCATCATTTGATATTCTATCATCTATACGTTTTGTTAACAAGCGTCTTCGTGCAGTTTTTCTGACCTATCCTCGTATTCAACTGAACTTCAGTAATGTGGACATATTGATGGACAAGAGTCAATTTGATTCTATCTGTACTCAACTGGTTTATTCGACGTCTCAAGTTATATCTTTGACACTCTTCGATGAAAACGATACAATGACGTCTGTAAAAAACACTCTTTTTTTTTTCTCGATTCAGTATCATTGATAAAACATTTCCAAATCTTCGTTCATTGACTTTAACATACATTAATTATGAAACATGGTGCTTATTCAAAACTCGACTTCCACCATTCATCATGATGCTTTCCATTTATTTGTACCCTCCTGATTCTGATTCATTTCGACATATATCGAATGCATCTGATGTTTTAAGTGAACTATTCTTCATTTCGCCGGTACTCAAACATCTCTCTATCAAAATGTTTCATGTTAACGAGAACAATTTGATAATTCGTCCTCCAAATTCATCAAAATTATCTTCTGTTCAATATTGTCACATACAACACATAGAAATCAATTTATTGAGTTTACTTACTGTTGCACCTATGCTTCACACATTTGAAGGTAGATTTTGGTCTTCTAATTCTAATTTAATATTAACTAGAATTTATCCTCGTGCATTTTATTTGCATCAATTGCGAATCAAATTGTGGACTATCACTTGGAAAAATATGACAAATTTACTCTTATCATTTCCACAACTCATCTATTTAATAGTTATTGCTGAAAATGTCAATAGTGATATGGCTGATGGTTTTGCTTGGGCAAGATTATTACGACACATTAAACATTTTGAGTTTAAATTGGAATTCTCCTACAATGCATTCGAACAAGAACCACTCAATCTTGACTCATTTCGTACGAAATTTTGGCTTGAAGAGAAAAAATGGTTTGTTACATATGATCGAAGCACAAGTTCTGATGATCTTTCAATACTCTATTCGAATTATTTTTCTATGATCGTCTATCCACCACATGAAATATTTGGAACATTAATATCAGAAACAACAGCAGCAGAACCGGGAACATTTTCACATGTTAATCACCTGACAATTTATAATCATTATCTGAAATATCGATTCGTATATCAATACAAGCATATCAAAGAGTTACATTTGTCAAAAGTTACTACTGCATATTCTATGTCGTTCAAAGATTTCGTAACTTGTATCGATACATCACAAATTATGAAATGTATCATTTTTTCCGAATGGATTGGAAATTCATCTTCCGAACACATCGAATTTTTACATAACTTGCCTCGTTTGCGTTGGCTTGAAGTTTCTGTTTTTCATCTCAATCATCTTTTTCGTTATCAATGGTCTCATATCATTCATTTGAAGATTGACAATGATCGTGAGGGTAAATCTTATATATTATCTTCCAATGATATCGATTCACTTTGTCATTCGTTTCCTCATATTGAACGACTTGATATTTATTCGTCACATGTTACTGATCTATCACAACTTCTCAATAGAATGAAAATAACATTAACAGATATA